TTCTTCTTCTACCTCTTTTAGTTTCTCCTTCACTGCCGCAAGTTGTTCTTGAAGTTTCAAGATCTGGAGTTCATACTCACCGGTCAGACTCCAAATGTTTAGCAAACATGATTTGTAGTATTCATGGTTAATGGTTTCATCATATCATTCTTCAAAACCACATTGATTTTCGTCCTACCAATAGGGATAATAACACAAGACTATTAATTAACATGTTATATAAAAACTATTAACAAACATTTTTTTCCAATAATAATAACTTACAACTTGTTTACACATCCAACAATTGCGCCCCAGATTGCAATTTGACCAATATGGCTTCAAAATCGCATGTTTGCCACAATAACACCTTGGTACGTTATTGCGTCCAGACATATCGTAATGCTCGAAAATAAAAAATTAATGAAAAGTTATTCTATTCGTTTCGTTACAACGCAAATAATAACTAAAATGTGCGAGGTTTTTATAGGCAGCTAAGAGTGATTTTAGGTTACATAACGCATATTGCGAAAGCACTACGTATCGCGTGCTAATGATTCTTTAGGGTACAAGTGGGTGCAGCTTTTCAGATCGACAACTTTTTTCTGGTATACAAGACAATACACATAACGCATATTGGTGATCCGCTACATTTCACGTGATAATAATTCTTTAGGGTACAAGTGGGTGCAGCTTTTTCAGATCGACGGCTTTTTCAGGTCGACAGCTTTTTCAGGTCGACATGACAATACACATAACGCATATTGGTGATGCGCTACGTTTAATATACAAGTTCGTGAAGTTTAGTACTTCTTAAGTTGAACCAAGAGATCAGTATTCAAGAATCATTACAACATCCATTTCAGAAATGCCACTAACATTTAATAAGTGGTTTAAGAAAAGGCAAAAAGGTAAAGGTAGTTCAACAGATCCACATGGAATACGTCATAACACAATCGATCCCTATCTTGAAAAAAATATGCTAGGTTGCTATACTGATTTGGTTGATGACAAGTGGTATGGTGTTCTACGTCTCTTGAAAAATAAGCCTATCTATATATACACTGATCTCAAAATTGCATGGCACATTATTGAGGGCGAAGCGCATTCTATAAAGCCTGAAGGTATTGGAATTTGGGGCGAAAAACTACAATGGGTTCCCCTTTACTCAAAACGGCGTGATTATGAAGTACTATGCCACTGGCATGGCCTAGTTGTACCACAAGCATTGTCTGCAACATTCCAAACAAACACACATAAAGATGAAGCAGAAGTGATTTGGCATTTGATGAAGAAGATTTTAGAGAAGGAAAAGGCACTAGCCGTTCATCATGCGCTGAATGATCTTAACTACCTGCAAGGAACGGAGGGACTACCTAAGTTTCTACCACAGACGTTGGATGTAGGAGTCCCATATTGTTGTAGAAATCAAGCAAGTGGTCTTATTGATGATAGCGATGAAATACGAAAAATGTGTATTTCTTGGAGAATATTTTAAATTGTTGTATTGAATCTTTAATGCTAAACATCAATTAGATTTAACCCTATTAGAAACATAATTTTATTTCAGAAATTTTGCAAACTAAACCTTTTACAGATATTTAGTACAACAAAAATACTGCAACAAAATACTACGTTTATCATTGATAATTGGGCACATTGGATGAACCTCCATCTGGACCTGAATTACCACCACTTCCCAAACCAGCTGAAGGACATTTACAGCGATCGTGTCCTGTTTGGGAACATATGCCATATTTACACGCATAAACAGTATCACCAACATCCATTTGGTTCTGTATCCACGTTCTTTTTTGCACTTGCCATTGACACACATAATCCTTGTTACACACCATGTTAAATGGTTCTGGCGGCCAATAATGATCAGCACCCACTGGCTGCAACTGTCCACTATAGGTGTTTACATATTTAGCAACACTATATTCTTTATCAACTTACCTCGTTGCCACGAAACCTATATATTGAAAGCACTTCATGGCATGTGATCATAGAAAGTGATAGATTGACCATTTTCCACATGAGCATAATCTTCTCGATTTATTGACAGTGTGTGTATTATTCCTGCGGTTGTAATGCAGACCAATGCGAACTTCAAAAATATTTCTCTTGCTGCAATACTGCAAAAATGTATGCCATTGTGCTCGCTTCCAATATTTCTCAAACCGTTTCATTGGTTGTGGCATAAATTCAACACCACTTTCCATCAATGATGATGCACCTCTAGATATTTCAACAAACCTCTCCGCCATCTGCTTGAATGACATCCGCACCATGGCAGTGACAGGCAATCCACGTGCAAACTTTAACAACCCGTTGAAAGACTCTAACACATTTATAGTCAAGATTCCCCATCTTCTACCACCATCCTTATGCAAAGTCCATTTGTCAAGCTCATGTCGCATCAACCAACGATATGCTTCTGGATCTTCCTGCCTAATCAATTCCATTTGCCTCCTTAATTTACACTCGTTATGATATGTTGCCTAACACAGTAACGATGGCAGGCATACAGTTCCTGCCATGCACGCAAATTTTGTACAAAACTTAAAATACCGCCATGTCAATCAGATATTAGACAAATACCTAAACGCTGTCTGACAACGTGCTCCTTCAAGTGGTTCAAAAATAATATCCACGTCTCTTGGATTTCGTTGGGACAAATAGAAAATGCGAGAGGAAATATGCTTCCATTAGCATCTATTGCAACGGCGATCAACAACGTAATATCATACTTCCCATAGACATGAGTGTCATCTATGGATATTACCGGCTGATAATGCACAAAACTATCAATGGCTGGTTTAAATGCCTAGAACACATATCTGAATATGAATTCTTATATTCATGGACTCCGCTCAAGCTTTTATTCAACAACAGTCCTAGGGTTAAAGTGTTGCAATGCAACCATGTACCTGGGTGAGCGGCAAAGGACTTATCCCAATTACCATAAACAATCTCAAACGCACGTTGGCACCTGAGAAATGCCTTTCTTTTGGTAATGATACATCCATATACCTGGTGGACAGATGTTATACACTCTTTAATCCTGTACCTTATGGACGATTCAATGTATTGAATCAAGACAAGAGAAATCAAGTCAACATTCAAGTTAAAATGATTCCCACTAAATGTGTCCATTTCACAATTATGGGTGCCAATGTATTTACCCACAACCCACATATTTATTTTCTTCTTCCTCGCACGCAGCATCCAGTTACAACCCGTAAACCATCTACGGCAAATAACCTTGTATATATCCGGAGATGACTCGGCTACCGTGATCTCACGACACTCTTTTACGCTATACATTTGTACCGCCCTGCTTAGATGCGCTTTATCAGGAAAAAGCATGTCCTTTGATAATGTCGTAGCTCTAGATTCATCCCACATTGCTGTCCGAATTTCGTCAATATCCCTTGTAAGGGCATCCACATCCGGCATACTTGGAAAATGATCAAGGTAGGGAATCTCCCTTGAATAAAATGGCACGTGGGACTCGTACACTCTTGGTCTAACGGGAGGTGGAGCATGCTCCCTCGTCAAATCAGGTTCAGCATTCTCTTCCTCATTATCATCGCCCTCATCAGGGAAGGGTGTGTCATCTCCAGACTCATCGACATTGTTGTCATAATTACTATTTTCTTCCTGACTCTGCGCATCTGCCAGATCCTGATTAAATAAGCCGTATTCGTGCAATTGAGTAAGGACATGAGCTTCAAGTTGCTCGTTTTCACTGCACAACCAACAAAATAATGAGTTATTCAAATTGATTCAAACTTTACATATAGCTTTATCACTTCACTTACAAATCATAATGTGTTGATATCCCATGATAGACATTATCATGTTGATGATGACTCCCGAATGGACCACCATGATCCAACACACCAAAACTAGGCATATTTCAAGCGGGCGTTAGTTCATAACTTGTAAAATTCATATCTGGCTGGTACCCCATGTGGATATATGAGTGTTAATACAAATTCAATACATAAAAATAAACATCTTAACACAAAGGAAAATTAACGTTTACCAATCGACTTATGGATTATGTAAACTAGGTGAGAAATTATTTTCTCGCTCCTCATTCGCCCGTGGAGATAAGTTTAGATCGGGTCAAACTCTTTTATCCGGAACTTGTTCGGCTAAAACTGCTCCAAAATAACCACCTGGTGATTGAGGGATATCCCTACTTTGCGCAACCTCATTATTGCGAACGTCTTCAGACTTGACGTATATTTCCAACATTTTTATCACAAGAAATTCCCGGTATTCATCCGAAGTTCTCAAAAAATTTCTCAGAGTTTCATCGTCCTCGATGTTAAACTCAACATAACAAGCAACCCCTTGCGGAGTGACAGAATATGGATATCTTCCAGTTACTTTAATATTCACTGAACGTTTGCTCACACTCATTTTTTTACATAACAACGATACCAATGTATCATACTCCATTGTAAGTGGCAACTTAACGTGACACTGTGGAGACAAGTGATAGCTTACTGAGTTATTCACCACCATAACCTCACCCCTCCCCCCCAATATAATAAAACCCTAATTCTTCGCTCTTCAGACATTATGACAAAATGCAAAATAACTTAACGAAGAAATATTTCAGAATACTTGAATGTATTTATGAATGGATTTTTATAAAATCCTTAACCTCTTTAAATAAGGCAAAAATCAGTCCGGGGGTATAATTATTTGAGGTATAACGCCTTAAATATGGGCGTTATACCTAGCTGAATTATTGTTATGTCAGTTAAGCCTAGAAAAATTACTGGTGGGCCCACATCATATATATATATATATATATATATATATATATATATATAACGCCTTTTAAAAGGGCGCTATACCTAATTGGGCAAACAGTTGTTAAGTATAGCGCCCTTTAAAAGGGCGTTATATATTTTATGATTACTGCTATTTTTTTCACACATTTTGGTTTTTTGAGTCCAGAAGAATCACATTTTTGTTCCGGACTCCCTCCACAAACTCGGCACTTTCTCCAACATCACTTCTCTTCTCTTTCCCTTTTTGCCATTCCCTTCGCTCTCCTTTCCCTTTCATTTCTTTGATAGCTTATCTCATGGCACACAATACCACCCACAGGGACCCTTTAACACTATAGACAACATCTCCAACCAATTTTCCCAGCTAAATTCAAATCACAAAAACCTCAAATCTTCCTTAAAACATCCATCTGGGCATTCATATTCTTCAGATGACAACCATTTAAAGCTCAAATCTTTGACTGATTCAGCTGCTTTTGACTCTTCAAGTGCAGCGTTGACCAAGTCAAAGAGCCAACATGGGAGCTCTAAGGAAAGAAAATATGTCAATGAATCTCACAACAAAGACCATGATATTGAAAAAGCAATAGTTGTGCAGAAAAAAGAAACAATCAAGAAAGTTTCTTCCCATAAGGGGAAAGAGTTCCACAAAGAGGTGGATGTTAAAAGGGAATTTGTCTATTTGTCTAGGAGTCAAGAAAATGAAAGGCTAAAGGGGTTTGAACAAGGGGTTGATGAGATAAAAAGCAATCTTTATTAAGGAGGAAATCATTCTGCAGTTCACAGATTGAGTTGGCTGATTTCTTCTCTTGTAATGGTGTGAAAGTTGTATCTGTAGACATGCCACTTTTTATGCAGATTCATGATGTCAATTGTGCAAGAAAAACTCATGATAGCTTGGAAAAGTTCACATCTAAAGCTCTTGCTTTGACCCTAAAAAAGGTAAAAGAAAAAATAAATAAAAAATTACTACTGTAAAAATTATGCTTTTTTTTGGTTGTTTTTGATGAATTACTGATTATTGGATGAATTGGTTTCTGAATTTTTTTTCCAGGAGTTTGATGGGGTCTATGGAACAGCATGGCATTGTATAGTAGGGACCAGCTTTGGTTCTTTTGTGACACATTCTGTTGGTGGTTTTATATATTTTTCTGTGGATCACAAGCTATATGTACTCCTCTTCAAGACTAGTGTACAAATAGCAGAATCTAGTTGAAAAATCTTGAGTTGAAGTTTGTTTTAGTACATAGGGAAATTTTGGTTAAAATGTGATGTCTACTATGCAGTTCTGTTCATTAGATTTGCTAAGAAAAATATGGGTTCATTATCATTGTAATGTTGATAAACAAATGTACAATGGTATAATTCATCATTTTCACAGTTGGAGTGGACCAACAATGGTTCACATGCAAACTCTTTTTCCTTTTTCTTTTTACTTCTTAGATATCAACTTATACATTTGTATGCAAGTTAAAAATGTAGAGAACTTCTAATTTTAGAGAAATTAATTAGATTGAGATGAGTTCAATTGAGCAATATAAATAGCAAGGGTTCATATAGTATATTCAACTAATTTGGATTCTTTTAATTGATGCAGTGCAACTTATGCCTAGTCTTTATATGCATTTTCAAGTAAAACATTTTCGCTTTCCCAGTTACTAGAAAGAATTGAAAATTACCATTTAAATTAAATCTTTGTTTGCGGGAAGCTGGAATTGAAGGGGTACTATATAAGTTTGATCGACATTACTGACTTCAATATTCTTACCTCGTAAAATACTGACCATTATGACTCGTCATCTACCCCCAGGACTGGGAGAAGGTAGTGTAGGCATACAAAATTTATTGGATTTAAATTCAATAAAATAATTTGGACTATATATTAAATATGTTAGTCCAACTAAATATTATGGGCTAATATAATTGGATTAATTATATAAGTCCAATACATATGGGTTAAATAAAGAAGTCCAAATCTATTAGGCTAACCCATTTAATTGGGCTACAAGTAATGAGCCCACTTCATTAAGCCCAAAATGTCATCTTCCTAGAGGCCAAGGTTGGTGTCATGTGTCAAATGACGTGGCACGCCAAGTCGAACAGAAGAGCCAATGGGATCATGCCACGTGTCAAAATGACACGGATGCCAAGTCAAATTAAAAGGCCGATGAAATCGCACCACTTGTGCAAGTGACATGTTTTGACCAATCAAATGCGGCCTTGTCACTCTTCAATCTGATTGGTCGGAAAGAGTTTGTTCTCATCACAACTCTTCTCTCCCACAACTATAAATAGGGGTTTTCATAACTCAGAAAAGACACCAAAAGTTATAACAAGAAGACACGATGGAGCTCGTGAATCAAAAGCCACAATTCTCTGCAAACTGCAAGTGTTCAAGTATTCACGCACTTCAACACAAATTTCAAGTATTCAAGATCAAGAACGAAGTCAAATCAAATACAATGCGTTCAAGTTCAAGGCTACTTGTTCGTGATAAAATTCGTGGCATCAATCAAAGCATTCGCTATGGATAAATTAAATTCAAATTCAAGATCAAGCTCAAAACCCCTTGAATTTATATTGGAAAAGTAGAATTAGAGGAACCATAGAGATTATAACACTCAAACTATTTGAAATCAAATACTATAATTGTTGCAATATTTTTCGGTCTTGATTTTATTTTCTTGACGCAAATTTATTGTCTACAGGTAGCACTTTATTTTTTTAATTTTTTTTTAGGAAAAGGGAATATTTATATTAATACTAGTATTATTTTAAAATATTATAAAGATGTCTTTAAGATACTTAACAATGAAAGTGTAGACCATTAGATTTCCATGTGCATTATTGGATAATACAAGGAATCCTAGATAGAACCCATGCAGTCGTTTTGCACTATCTTTTAGGTGGTCTTCCTATTTCTTTTGATCTTTAGTAGTATTGTCAATGAGCAATTTATGCAAAATATCCATTGAGCTTAAACTAATTATTTTTTTTATCCATTTAAAATTAGTTATAATATAACCTAATTAAAACAATTATCCAACCTGTACCCATCCCACTTTTTATTACCCATTTGGCTTAATATAGCTTGATTTGACTTGGATTAGTTTGGCTTGGTTTGGATTAAATTGGTTTGGTTTGACTTGATTTGGTTTGCCTTGGCATGAATTGGCTTGGCTTTATTTTAGTAGCTTAGTTTGACTTTATTTGGTTGGGGGCTGGGCATTTTTAAAAAAAGGGTAGGAGTAGGTAAATAGTTTGTGGTGACCCTGAACCCTGAACCCAAAACAAAGCTTGAGAGCTCTGGCGGTTGGCGATTTTGCGACGACTGAAGCGAGAAAAATCGCGAGCCTCTCATGGCTTCTCCGGCACTGGCCAGTCCTCCAATGGGGCTGGTCAGTCATCTACACCATCTCCACAAAACCCCCCACAACCATTACAAACACAATTATTACAACCAAAAATATTAAATGCCCATGCAAACCCTACCCCTCGTGCTTATAAAACCTGTTGAATATTTATATGGAGAACCTATCATACGATGGATGAAGGAAGAAGTGAAGCAATCCATTGTTAAGCAAGGTTTGCAACTGGCAGTGCTGGGCATGTTCTCGTATGGGAAGCCAGTGATCATGGAATTACGCAAGGTGATACCAATCCAACGTGAGCTCAAGGGTGCTTGTTCAATTGGGCTTATTGCAGATAATCATGTATTAATTAAGTTGTCATTGATGGGGGATTATGTTCATATGTTATCTAAGCCAGCTTTCTACTTAAAGACACAAGGTGAGATGTGACAGATGCGATGTATAAAGTGAAATCCTTGGTGGAAACCTGAATAAGAAACTCCTATAGCAATTGCGTGGATTAGCTTCCCAAAACTGCCTCCTAATTTTTTTTGGTAAGGAGTTTGTATTCTCTTTAGCAAAGGCAGTAGATAATCCATTACATGTTGATTTGGCCACACAAAATGGTACTAGACTTAATTGTGCAAAGGTTAAAGTAGAGGCAAATTTGCTTGCTAAGTTCCCTCAAAGAATTAAGATTGTTGAAGAAGAAGATGAAACTAGGCCAGAGGATTCTAAATGGATTAAAACCAAGTATGATTATTTTTCAAAATATTATAAGACTTGTAAGAAACAAGGGTACAATGAAGGTGATTATTGGGTGATCCATCCTGAGCTACATAAGAGGTATGATGATGCTGTAGAGGATCGGGGTCATGGGAAGGAAGTAGTTGGTACTGCAGCTACCTCAACTAAAGTTGTTTCAAGTGGTAAAGTTTTGGGAAAGTCAATTTCAAATCCAGCCAAGCAGGAGTGGATGCAAAGGAGATTGAACAAGCATCAAGAAGATAATAGAGGCCACATTATTGATACTACAAAGGAGCAAGAAGTGGATAATGTGAAGGGGAAGAACAAGGTTGAGGCAGTAGCTACAAGGAACAAATTTAATGCACTTGAAGTAGAGGAAATTGAACAACCAATTCTACAAATTACGAGGGGCAAAGAAGACAGTTTTGACAAAGAAAATGAGAAGCAACAACTGGTAAATGAATCCAACAAGGAGAAGGAGAAGAAGCAATTGGAGAATGCACATAAGTCCAGTCCAAATCCCAAAGGAACTGGGAGTTCTATTGTAGCGGCAAAAGAGCTTAACCTTAATCCTAATGCTACAGGGATTGGGGTGAATACACAAAAGGAAAGAACTGTGGATTGGCTACAAAGAATATTTGGAGCTCCTAAAGAGGAAATTAATGTGACAACTAACTATTCATGTCAAGAAGTACCTTCACAAACGATGGGGGGTGATTCAAGGGCAGTTGATACAACTAGAACTTCAAACGATGGTAATGCATTGTGGAGTGATGAAGTCAAACTAATGGAGGAGGATTCAAGAGCTAATCAAGATGACAATGCCAAATATCAAAGGGAGAATGAACAGGAGAAGCATGCAGGAATTGTTCATGTAGATGTTATAGTAAACCCTAACCTAAAAACTAGGGTTGAAGGTAATCATTATTCTAATGAGAAACAAGATAAGTTACCAGATGGATTCGATAAAGGAACTTCAAAAGAAGCTAGAATAACTGGAGGAACAACTGCAGCAGCTTCAGCTAAGAAGCAGGAAAATAGAACGGTGAACCCTAGTGAACTTGGGGAGGTTTTCTCTAATGTTGAAGGTGTTCCCGTGAATGTTTTAGGTGGGGAGTAGGTTGGGAATGTTAATGTAGAGGTATTACATAATACAGTTAGGTCTGATCATCAAACAGTTGGTGGCAAGGCCCTTGATCTCAATGGAATGGTATCTTCTGCAGGTCTAGCTACAATTACCCTAGCCTGGAATCCATCTATGCTTTGTAATTCAATATGTTTCAGGAGTCTTTAGGAGCAGGGGAACAGACTTCTATCGAGATGATTGAGACAAATTACAAGGCTACATATCAATTTGAGCATGCCATTGTACCACAAGCAACAGGTGTCATTGAGCCAAGTCCTATGGCTTGTGCTTTTGGAACTGAGCAGCCAATGCAAATTCAGCTTAATATACCTTTGAATACACTAATTCAAGTACTACATAATCTAGTTACCCATAATGTTATACATGTGGAGATTCAACAGGCCATGGTTGAACATAAGCAGTTTGAGAAAGAAGGTGATGATGAGTCAACAACAAGAAATTTCAAAGCAGTAGCAAGGGAAGCTGATTTGTCACCTAGAGCTGGTGGTAAGAGTGGTAAGAAGGGAAAGAAACAAGGTCAAAACAAAGAAATTCCTCAACCTACAGGAATCTTGCCCAAGAGGGCAATCTCAATGTCTAAATGATGATCAAGACTTTGATATGGAACATAAGGTCTGTTAACACTCAATATGCCTTTCAGAGGGTGATCAATATGCAAAGAGAATATGGTTTCTTCATTGTTGCATTAATGGAGCCTTTTCAAAATTCCATACACATTCAGAGATACATGAGGATATTAGGTATGTATGTTGTAATGTCAAATATTAATGGTAAAATATGATTGTTCTTTGATGATGTTCTTGTATAGGAATTGTTGATGGATACTGAGCAACAGGTAACTATAAGAGTGTATCATCGGGACATTGGCAAACACATCATGATGACCTTTGTGTATGCTAAATGTTCAGCTCTTGAAAGACTAGAATTATGGGATAATTTATACTATTTAGCTAGTGAAATGGAGTTGCCTTGGTTAGTTGGTGGTGATTTTAATGTAGTACTCCATGAAGATGAGAAGACATGAGGTTTGCCAGTGTATCCACCCAAGTATGAAGATTTGGCCTTTTGTGTGAACTCTTGTGGATTGTTTGATCTTGACTATAAAGGGAGTTCTTTTACTTTGTGGAA